TGGGCCGGCCGCCCGCGGGGGTGTCACAGCGAGGGGAGGTGGGCAGGCCGCCCACGGGAGTGTCACAGCGAGGGGAGGTGGGCAGGCCGTCCACTGGAGTGTCACAGCGAGGGGAGGTGGGCAGGCCGCCCACGGGAGTGTCACAGCGAGGGGAGGTGGGCAGGCCGTCCACTGGAGTGTCACAGCGAGGGGAGGTGGGCAGGCCGCCCACGGGAGTGTCACAGCGAGGGGAGGTGGGCAGGCCGCCCACGGGAGTGTCACAGCGAGGGGAGGTGGGCAGGCCGCCCACGGGAGTGTCACAGCGAGGGGAGGTGGGCAGGCCGCCCACGGGAGTGTCACAGCGAGGGGAGGTGGGCAGGCCGTCCATGGGAATGTCACAGCGAGGGGAGGTGGGCAGGCCATCCACAGCCCGCTCTGAGAGGGCCACAGTGAGCGGAGAACTCTCCGGTCACACTTAAACTGCACTCCCTTTGGAGTGTGCCCTAAAATCAGAGTGCACATTTTTCCCACAGCTGAAACCACCTGGCATTAGGGGCTGGCCCGTGTGCTTAGGGCTGATTGGAGCAGTGCGGAGTGAAACCTCCATTCGGGTGTCCCTGGTCACTGGTGTCCCTGATCTCTGCTGTCCCTGGTCTCTGGTGCCCCTGGTCACTGCTGTCCCTGGTCTCTTGTGCCCCTGGTCACTGGTGTCCCTGGTCTCTGGGTGTCCCTGGTCACTGATGTCCCTGGTCAGGCCCGCTAGCCTGAGGCATGGACCCCTCCCTGTCACATCGCTCTGCCTATGTTGATGGCTCTCATCTCAGTAACTTGGACTTTCTTCTACAAATCTTTAGGACTTGAACTTCCTGTTAGGGTAACAGACTTGGTAGTTCTATTCCCCTCCAGTTTGGGTACAGGGTGCATGCACTCACCGGAGGGGGAGAGGAAAAAGAGAAAGCCCTCCATGGGCGGATGCCCCCTACAATCCCTCCCCCAGTGTCCTCTCGGTATTTTGGCACGCACCCACACACGCTTGGCATGTCCCATACACTGGATCTGGGACGCGAGCCAGAGTCGGCCATTTGGGACTCGGCACCTTAACCACCATGCCACCTGCTAGCCCCAACCCCATTGTTTTTTAAAAGCCCCAAAAGCCACTAAGTTCCCTTAGCCACTGCAGCTGCGGAAGCTTCCTCCTGTGACAGCTGTGTGGTGGCACTAGGGCAGGGCGTGGAGGCCAGGAGCCTCCATCCTGCCTCACAGACGCCACAAGCAGGTAACGTACTTCTGAAGACAGCTCACTTTTAATACATGTGAATGTGTGTTTTGCTCCTGGGATTACAGGTATGTCTGGCCTGCTCACGTTCACAGTAACAGACATACTGTCGGGCGGTGGGACAGGGCTCTGGGTCCCACGGGCCAGCTGCGTGGTTGGATTCCAGGATTCAGTGGCTTCAAAAGCTCACTGGGCATGTGTGTGTGCATGTGCCCCAAACCCCAAGGAGAAGGGGTGCAGTGGGCCCCTGCTCCCCCTCTGCCTGGCAAGCGTGTGGCCCTGGAGAGGTGAAGCCTGTGCCCGCTGCGGTCACTAACCACTGCTGTGTTGGACTGTCCGCAGCTCTGATCAGCTTGTCCTTCGGAGGCGCGGTCGGGCTGATGTTCCTGACACTTGGGTGTGCCCTGCCGGTATACAAGTACGTGCACGTGTTGTCCTTGTGGGTGTTCAGGGAGAATGGAGTCTACTCTTAGAGCTTAAAAAAGCTGCTTTTTAATTACCGGCAAGTAATGTCGGGAACTGTTTACCAAACATAAGGTCTCTTAAAAATGATCACTTAAAATTTGTATGTAAGGGACCAGCAGATGGCATAATGGTTACGCTGGACTCCCACGTAGTTGACCATAGTTTGAGGCCTTGGCCCGTTGGCTTAAAACTTACGCTGGGCGCGTGTGCGTGCGTGCCCAAAATCCTGAGAGGAGAATGGAGGAGAAGGGATTGCAGCATGGCCATCCCCCTAGGGGATGATTTCTTGCTTTCTGTCTTCTTTCTGGTGAGCGCACTCGCCCTATAGCAAAAATCTCTCTTTAAAATAGATTTATAAAGAGAGCTAGCCAGTGGCATAGTGGTTAAAGTGCTGGATGCCACATGGTAGACCACAGTTCAAGTCCCAGACCCAACAGCTTGAGAATCATTTCATATACATGTTTGCCCACATGCCAAAAATCCCAAGAAGAGAATGGAGGAGAAGAGACTGTGGCCTGGCCATCTCCCTGGGAGGTGATTTTTCACTTTTTTTAATCAAGTGCATGTGCCCTATGGCAAAAGCCTTAAAGGGAAACATCTGTCTGTAAAGATCTCAGGGTGCTGAGGTACAGACAGATAAGTGCCTGCTCTCTGACCCTGAGCGGTCGATGGCAAGACAGTGCAGCAGCTCAGGTTTGAGCACCTGGTGACGGTAAAGCCAGGAAAGGTAAGAATGTCTTTTTGCTAACAAGATCATAAACAGAGTCAAATACAGTTGACTAAAAAGTGATGGAAATTATTACTTCCTTAGAATAAAAAGGATTTTAAAAATTAATATGTAGGGGCCAGCCCATGACCTGGTGATCAAGGAGCTGGATTCCACATGGCTGACCACAGGTTCAAGTCCTGGACCTGGTGATTTGAAGTCCTGAAAGGAAGATGAGATGCGAGGAAGGGTTTGCAGCATGAGCGTTCCGTTTGGAGAGGGACCCCGCAGTTTGAAAAACAGACTTGGGAGGGGGGTGCGTGCCCAAAATCCCTAGAGGAGAATGGAGCAGGGACTGTGGCATGGCCATCCCCCTGGGGGTGATTTCTCACTTTCTCTCTCTCCAGTGGGCACTTGTACCCTATTGCAAATTTCTTTTTAAGTTGCAAAGCAGGGGCCCCGTACCCTCCACACAGCTTCCCCAGTTCTGCCGTCTCCATAGCCATGGCCACCAAAACCGATCATGGCCGTGCAGTGTAGGGAGCCCTCTGCCCGCACCATGGCCCAGTGTGTGCGGCTGAATGTCGTCAGCATCGCTGTCCGCCTTCCGCATTCTCAGGGCCCTGCAAAACGGGCCAGCGTGGGCTCTGTGCGTCGGAGGGGCCTGAACAGCACCGTCCCTCGCACTTGTCGTTCCAGCCAGTACTGGCCGCTCTTCGTGCTCTTCTTCTACGTGCTCTCGCCCATCCCGCACTGCGTGGCCCGGAGGCTGGTGGACGACAGCGATACCATGAGCAACGCCTGCAAGGAGCTGGCCGTGTTCCTCACCACAGGCATCGTGGTGTCGGCCTTTGGACTCCCCGTCGTGTTCGCCAGGGCACAGCTGGTAAGCCGTCTCCGGTGTGCGTCTGGCTGCGTGCGCCTCGGGAAGGTTTGTTAATGGCGGGACGAAGAGAAAGGTGATGGCGCCCAGAGGCGGAGATCGCAGTCTGCCGCTCCTGTCCTCCTGAGCTGCTGCGAGCACGGCAGCACGTCCACAGCCGTAACCCATACCCGAGGCCCGCGGACACCATGCGTGCTGGCGTGGGGAGAGGGAGGGCTGGGGCTGCGGGGACTCATTCTCCCTCCCAGACTCAGGTTCACGCCTTCCCTCTGAGAAGGCAGAGAAGAAAGAGGAGAGGCCAGGGACTGGCCACCCCCGCGTGAGGAGTGATCTCGTGGCCCGCAGAGGATGGGCTCGAGTGTGCGGTGTGTGTGGCCTGCTCACTGGTGGACTCGCGGAGTCACTTGGAGGGCTCGGAGCGGGTATCTGTGAACGTCAGAAACAGAAGGCCAAGCAGGGCTGTGATGTGCTCGGCACCCGGCAGGTGGTGGCTCCAGCTGGGCTCAGCATGCGTTGTGTCCCCCGAGCGTGTCACAGGCCCTGATCGAGAGCCCGTGTCACCCCCACAGATCCAGTGGGGAGCGTGTGCGCTTGTGCTCACGGGGAACACGGTCATCTTCGCGACAATACTAGGCTTCTTCTTGGTCTTCGGGAGCAACGACGACTTCAGCTGGCAGCAGTGGTGAGCGGTGGTGGGCCGCCGCCGAGGACTTCATGCGGCGCCCGGGCAGCAGTGCAGGCGCAGCCTGGCCGCCCGGGGTCACGGGCTCCCGTCCTGCCGTGCGTCCCATCCTCACAGAGACCCACGGAGGGACGGAAAGGACTGCTCTGGAGAAGCCTGGCTGGCCCCCACTTACCCGCGGCGCCCCTGTGACGTCCTGCTGTGCTGGAATGTTTATGGGTTTCCTGTTCAGTTTTTGAAATCACTATGCAATGTTAAACATGTTTTAAATGTAATAACGTTTGCATTAGGTAGGAATTCTGAATTCTTCTGGCGTATTGCTAGGCTAAAGTACAGATTTTTTTGTTTATATTATTGAACCTTCATTATTACAGAGTTACAAAGACCTGTTTCTAGTCTGCCAGGATGGCGTGTCACGATGTTACGCAGATGTGCAGACCGCTGGCACACCTGTGGACCACACCCAGGTGCGTCCCGACTGCATTCAGACCTCCCCAGGATGGGTGCCCTCCGGCAGGGCTGCTGGTGTGGGCAAACGAGAATTATTTTATGAAATTGCCACAAAGCAGTGCTTTTCTCCCCGGTTCCTAGAAGGGTTTGTGTGAAACGTTGAGGTAGAGATGTGAACAGAGTTTGGGGATGCAGTTCGTAGACGTTCATCACAACAGTAAAGCAGTCACAGTGTGTGAAGAATCAACGCTGAAATTCTGCCTCTTAAATCTTGTTTCAATTTACGAGTGAAGTTTGTGGTTTCTGTCAGCCTTTCCTGTTTTGCCTTGGCTGGAAGGGACACGGCTTCCACTTCCCCGGGCCGGCGTGGGGGTGCCTGGTCTGCCTCCACCCTTCCTGGGCCGTGCCGTACCTGTATGCGGTAAGGAGAGCGGCTGGCCAGGCACCCTGGGACCTGCCACCAGCCTGTGCCACGCCCCCTGCTGCCCTCTCCCCGCCAGGCCCTCTGTGACTGCCAGGCAACTCAGTCCCTCGCGGGTGGCTCATGCATCACCACGCATGGTGGCTTGCGGTTCCGGCCGCAGTTCCTGGAGGGTGCATCCTGTGTGGTCAGAATATGCAGCGCCCGGCTCCGGCGCTCTGGCTGGTGGGTTCAGACGGATCACCCTTGCCAGGCCTGCATCTCCTCCTAGGTGTTCCCGGTGAACAGCGCAGAGCAGCCGGCCCCTGCACTGGCATGGCCATCGTGGCCGTGCACACCCACAGCTGCTGGGACTGTCTCCCGGACTGTTCGTGAAGAGATTCGAGTTGGTCCAACCATGTTTGCTAAGAATATCTGTCTGTGTTTATTCAGTATGTTACATAAACATTGTTCTGCCTTCAGCCCAGACTGAGTGATCACAACAGCTACCTTCATTCTTCCAGAAAGTCTATTTCTCAAGAAAATGGGAACAAGTTCTGGGTTCAGCTTTTTCTACAGATGCCTCAGACCACAGGTTCCTCCTCCGCGTGTTAAACGTGGCTGTGAGGTGCGCACACGAGCGGGGGGGGCCCGCCGTGCCTGGGGCTGACACTGTGGGCGGTGGCGGCGGGCGCTCCGTGCCGGGCCCCCAAGCCCTGGCTGGGGCACGCGGACAGCTGCGCCTCGTCCCCGGGTTTAGGCTCTGCCGGCAGCATCTGCTGCCCGGTGTGCTGTGTGACTGCCACCATGGCGTGGCCTTGACCTCACCCGGTTCACACAGGGCGGCTCTGACCCCAGGCTGGATGCAAGTGCAGCCTTTCTGTGGACTGGCACTGATGCAGCATTGCGTTCTATGGAAAGGAAGCTTTTGAGGATGAAACAATAAAGATTTTAAGTCCCTATTTCCGTCTGTGTTTCTGAAATGAAAGTATGCAACACTCTCCAGTTGCCCGTCTTAGTCTTGGGTACGAGGCCTGTGTGACGTGTTGCACCGTCAGATTTGCAGTGGTTCCTGTCATAGCAGCTGGAAACCCAGACACCGTGGCAGCGCAGCCCCGGAACATGGGGCTGCATGTGAGGGCTGGAAGTCTGGGGGAGAGTTTTTGCCTAGCCTTGTACATGACAGTTTTATTGGCATAAAAAGACTGTTAGTGGGCCAGCAGGTGGTGTGGGGCTTACAGCGGCTGTGCAGTTCAAGTCCCAGGCCCCGTGGCTTGGACGCACCAGGCCCATGTGTGTGCCATGTGCATGGAGAAGGGACTGCGGTGTGGCCATCTCCCCGGGGCTGAGTCCTCACCCTGCCCCCTTGGCAAGTACGTGTGTCCTGTAGCACATATTTTAAAATAAAAGATTGACATCTTTTAAAATGTCAGACTTGGGATCAGAACCCCTCCCACCACATCGTCTGCCTAAGGGTTTTCTGGTGGTCTGCAGTGAGGTGGGAGGGCCGCGTCCACACCTACTGTCGCTGCTGGGACCTACGGGACTGGAAACCTCACGTGAGTCAGGGTGGGCTCCGTGACGCCACAGCCATCGACCCCTGATCTCAGCAACAAGCCCTGCAGCTTAGTCCAGCGGCAAGGTGCCCGCCACAGTCAGCTGTGGCTTCACTCTTGGGTCACTGTCTCAGGAACCTGGGCTCTCAGCAGAGACAGAGACACGTGGAGACCTGCGTGGCGGCTCTCCGATGGCCCGGCTGCGGTCCAGGCATGGGAAGGGTGACCCAATCGGCCTGCCACCAACCCCACTCTGCATTTCTCTCCTGTTCTCAACACCACGTGTCAGGAGCGAGTCGCAAGGACCACTCCCGCTATGACCCTATGCTGGCCTGACAGTGCCCCCGCTTCACCCTCAGGTTACACTGAGGAGAGTGCGGTCATGTCGTTGACACTTCACTGATTGTTCGTTTAATATCAATTACCATCCGCGCTGCGAAACAGGAAATCGCCTACTTTCAAGAATAATTGCTAGTTTTTCTTCCTATTATCATTTTTATATTTTAACTTTTTGCTACAGGGCATGCATGCTTGCCAGAGACAGAGAGAAAGGGAAAGTGAGAAATTACAACCCCCCAGGAGGGGGGTAGCTACACTGAGTCCCTTCTCCAATCTCCTGTCAGGACAGGATTTGGGGCACATGCATACGTGCTGGGTCCGGGACTGGAGCCACACAGCGGGCCGTGCCGTGTGGGACCCGGTACCCTGACTCCCCAGCCACCTGCTGCCCCACTTCCCTCTTGGGGTAGTTGCGTTGTTGCCTTTCCCACAACTGAGGGGCTTTCGCATTTCGTGTCGACGTCAGCGCCAGCATGCTGCAGAGTGTCTCCAGCCCTGAACCTGGCAGAGAGGCCGAGCCACGGTAGGCCCGCGCTCCTGGGTGTAGACCGGGACTCCAGCGCCAAGGGTCTGTTCTCAGCTCAGAGCAGACACTCTGGCGGGTGCACTGCTGTTCGTGGCGGGGACTCGGTCGGTCATCGGAGTGGCTGTAGGGCCACACCTGCTCGTGGCGGGGACTCGGTCGGTCATGGAGTGGCTGTAGGGCCACACCGTGTGCCCATGCTGCTGTGTATGCTCCAGGCGGGATGCCTCAGGTGGTAGGAGACAGAGAAGGGGCCTCCCTGGTTCTGGTCAGCCCTTCCAGGAGAAGTGAATCCTGTCCATGAGGGCAGAGCCCGTGATCTGTCACCCCCTCCAGGCCCCACCTCGTGACAGCACGAGTTTGGGGAACACTCAGTCGATGGTGGGGCACAAAGGCCCACTTGTCTCAGATGTGCAAGCAGCACCAGGCCCCTACGGGTAGAGGCTGGGCGAGGGTTAGAATGGAGGTACAGGGGTTTGGAGCGAGAGGGCTGAGGCAGGGGTCCCCGTTCCTCTTTCTGTTTCCCCTCACAGAGGACAAGAGGCACCAAGGAGGAACTGGGGAAATGGAGCAGGCAGGCAGCAGACGGGCAGTCCCTCCCTGGTCCCTCCTGCAGTGGGAGGCAAGGCAAGTGGGCCAGAGTGAACCCCCACCCACTACTGGCCGCGGACTCAGGGTGCAGGGGGACTGGGGAGGGCCCGAACGGTGTGCTGGGGACGTGGGCGCTACTGTCCTGCATAGGGAAGATGGGCGCCCTGACATCGGGGAAAGCTCCTCTTGGCCTCCACGCCACCGCTTCCCAGCCTGCGTGCTGCGTGACACACATGGCGTGAACCCTCACCCTCCCCTGGGAGCCTCCGGCCAGGCCTAGGCTTCTGAGCCCTGAGCTTGCATCCATGCCACCAGCATCCTTAAGGGAGAGTGGGCGATGGCAGAGTGGGAGCCACAGCCCCTGTCCCTTGCAGGCAGCAGCCAATGAACACCCCTGCTCTGCCCATGCCAGCAGGTGAGGGGCTCGGGCATGGTGTTCAAGTCCAGCAGCCAGCCTGCGCTCCGTGGAAGCCTGGCCCACCCCGCCCGCTCACCGTCTGGGTCGGCCTCCGTCGGCCATTCCAGGACTTGCTGGCAGTGCCTTGAGGCCTTCCATGCCCTTGATTCCCTGCCGCCTCCCCTGGAGTTCTCCCAGCTCTGGGGGCCTTGCGCACTCCTCCCCTGAGCGACAGCGTGTCAAAGAGGCCCCCTGGTTACGGCCACTGCCCAGCAGTCCTTGCTGCCCGATGGCCCTCACAGTGACACTGGGTGCACTGTCCGCCCCCGTGCTCACAGGCAGTGTCAACCTGCTACTTTCCAACTCAGAATTACCTTTCCCAGTGTACAGGATGCAAAGCTCACTCGCAGTGCCTTATTGTGAGAACGACACGCAGGTGGTTTATTGCGACAGGGCGAGCGCAGGCATTGCCCGGGCACGTCTGCCCCACTTGGCTCTCCCGCTGCGGGCTCGGGCAGCCTCAGTCCCACTTGCGCTTGCCCTTGGCGAACAGCAGCAGCACGAGGCAGTGGGCCAGGGGAAAGACGATGCCGCAGGAGGTGCAGAGCTGCCAGAGCGTGGTGGGGCAGTGGGCCTGCACGGCCAGCAAGATGTAGGCCGTGGTGAGCTGCGTGTGCACCCAGCCCAGCACCCTGCACAGTAGCCGTGGGGGCCCAGAGCTGGCCCACTTCCGGGCATAGGCATGTACCAGGTGGTCGGCCTCCACTGCCACAGCCCAGCACAGGAAGCCGAGTGCCTGGCCGGGGTGCAGGCCGTGCCACCAGGCCGAGAAGGCGAAGGTGAGTGCCCGCCGCCAGCGTGCACTGCGCTGGAACACCAGCCGCCTCAGCCCG